AACGGACTGTATCTCCCCCCCCTCCCACCCGCCGGTGCATGTTCTTAGTGATGTAGGATTTTAGGTTCTCGCACCGGTGGTAACGGAGTCGTCCATCTTCTGGGATATGATGCAGTGTAGTTCATCTAAAAGTATCCGACGTTTCGGAGAAACAATTCAACTTCATCTTCAGGGTTGAAGAATTAGCCAAATAATAAAATCAGCTTGCAACAGGTAGATAGACCAAAAACAAGTGGAGAATGTGAAATGTTTTAAATATTTGGGTAGCTTGTTAACAGATGATGGAAGGTGTACTTGTGAAATTAAATCCAGGATTGCCATGGCAAAAGCTGCATTTAGCAAGAAGAAGAATCTTTTTACCAGCAAATTGGACTTAAATTTGAGGAAGAAACTAGTGAAATGCTACATTTGGAGCATAGCTCTGTATGGGGCTGAAACATGGACACTTAGGGCAGTAGATCAGAAACATCTGGAAAGTTTCGAAATGTGGTGTTGGAGAAGAATGGAGAAGATCAGTTGGACCGATTATGTGAGAAATGAAGAAGTGTTAATTAGAGTCAGTGAGCAGAGGAATATCCTACATGAAATAAGAAAACGGAAGGCTAATTGGATTGGTCATGTTTTACGCAGAAACTGCCTTCTAAAAGAAGCTATCGAAGGAAAGATAGATGGGCGGATAGAAGTGACAAGAAGACGAGGAAGAAGACGTAAGAAGATGCTGGATGACCTTGGGGACAGAAAAGGATACTGTCATGTGAAGGAGAAAGCTCTAGATCGCATTAAGTGGAGGAATTGTTTTGAAAGAGACTGTGGACCTGTCGTCTTGACAGATTACTGATGATGATGCAACAGGTAGCAAGCAGAACTTTGCGATGTTACTCCCAAACGTCGGTTGGCTTTCAACAGGCTACATGTCACGATATCCGAGAAGATAGAAGTCTTCTTAATTCTACCGTTAAAGTTTGTGACACATATCTGCTTTTATTATAAGATAGTATTGATGAATATTATCTTAGGTATATATAATTGCTTAGTGTGATATGCGCGACTTATCGATCTCCCTGTATATTCGATGTTTCGGAACCTGGATCTGCTACCATCGTCAGGTTTGAAACGGATAAGACGCTACAGAGTGACTGAAATTGTATCTGTATACTGGGCACAAATGAGTGCCATTCTTTCTCTTTTTGCACTCGACGATGGAAGCAGATCCAGCTTCCGAAACAGTGTATAACTCAAATGTACTTAAGACGATGCAGATGTCCAACATAAGAATTTTGTAATGGCCGCCTTATGACAGAGGGAAGGTCTGCGCGCACCAGTGACGCGGAGAGCTACTCTGGCGGCAACCTAAGCTCCTGGTAGGGTCAAAGGGTAGGAGCTAGACGAAATATAGTCCCTGGTATTCCAGGTTGGGTGTTGGGCGCGAGGTTAACACCCAACATCGGACAAATCTACTGTAACGAAACCTGTGGAGGTAGACAGTATCCACACAGGGTTGCAGGGCCTGTGACGAGGAAGAAAACATTTTATAATGAACATTTCTATGCGTGTCACGGGTTTCAGTATGGCACCACATCCATATTTAGAGGTTATGTTTGACAAATGGAAACGTACTGCAAGTATAAGCTAGACTGAATGTTTGGAAAAATGTTTATTATTATATCTTATTACTGAAATTAAAATTTAGGAAACTGTTCTGTACAGGAAGAAGATTTTCAAGATTTCAAATGTGTCAAAAAAAAACTGTACAGAATGAAGTCTAGTAACTCAGGTATTAGAAAGTATTCGAATAACATTCCATTTTGTTGCAAACGTTGAAAATCCTGCCAGTTTTTTTTTTCTTGAGATTCTCATGACAGTGACTTTAAGAGTATATTTCTCATAGATATGACACCGTGTAGTTAGTTGAAGCACTATGCTACAAGCCGGAAGGTTACTGGTTCAAGTCCCGATGAGAAAATTGGATTTCTTTCAATTGACCTAACCTTCCAGCCGCACTATGGCCCTGTGGTCGACTCTAACAGAATGAGTACCAGGAATTAATTGATTTTCCTGGGGAGTAAAACGCAGTCGGCGCGTAAGGCTGACAACATTACCGTCATCTTTGAGCCGATTGTCTAGATAATGTGGGACCCTCAACGTCTCACAACCCTCTGGGCCATCACGGCCTGTTACAGGGATATCTTTACTTACTTCACTATGACACCATGTAGTCTAACAAAATTTTACCTTTCTTTTAGCGAAATATACTGCCTTTAATCAGGTTTGAAGTTTTCTTGCTTGGTTTACTTTTCGTAACTAAAAATCGAGCCATTAGTTCTTCTGGAACATCGGTGTATTTCTACCAGACTACACGTTTTTACGTCCCAAGAGTCACATTTTATAAGAAACAGAATAACATTTTCAGCTGACGTCATTACGTATGACCCATAATCTTAATGCAGTGTTGAACATGTATTCTTGTTTTGTGTTGTTCCACAGCGGGACTATTTGGTAGCTCGAGTTCATGCGTGTCGAAAGACACAGCAGAGAAATAAAAAATCATAGGGTATTCAGCTACTGCGGTCCCCATGCTTAATTAATGAGGCATAAGGCAAAGGAAACGCATCGAGGAATGAAGCTATACCGGAATGTACATTAATTTTCATACAAAATACAGGTTCGATGCTGGCTTTACGCTGCGACCGCTTTATCTCATGGAAATAACCTCCTGTGTCCACCACAAAAGAGGGTGGGTCGGTGGCAGACGTGGGAAAAAAATTTTGTACTTATCGGGAGTCAAATCCTGACTCTTTGTTTGTCATATCCGTATCCAACTACGCAGTCCTAATAAGAAATGAGTACGAACTTTGCGAACGGAGTGTACATAACTATCTTCACCCTTCTTTCCCCTCACTGCAAAATCGGTGTACCCCCCTCCCTCCCTTCGCACATTCACAAACTCGCTACATGCATCTAATTATTAAGTAAAAAAATCTAACTGGCACTTTCAAATAGACAATAATACAAGAAAACAAAAGCAAGTGAAGAGCGACATGCACCCCGCAAGGGCCTCAACCCCTCCCGTCAGCATTTCACAATGGCGCTCATTTGCATGCGTGCATATATAACGATTTGACAGAGTCGGTTCCCACCACTGGATGTTTGCTTGGGCCTGCACAGAGAGGTGAAATCCTAGGAAGGACTCAATGCCTTTTTCTCTTAACCTTTATTTTAGTTCCTTTTCTCTAAACAGACCGAGCTTCCGTGAATATGCATAAATTAGCGAAACAAAACTGTACATTTCTATGCTAATCACTTTGTAATCTGAGGAGGTACTAACCTGTACAGATGGCTGTCCTCACAAGTACAGACGAACGGGTTCCGCTGCAGGAAGCGGAAGTCCCACAAGAAGTAATGGGAAGAAGTCCAGAGAAGTTCCCCCCACCCAAAATTCTTCAATTTCGGAGGTCAGGGGGCTTAACTAGCAAAAAAAAATAATTACACAATTCAGACGAATACTCGTGTCCATGATATCGGCTAACAGAACATAACCTTGTCGGTTGTGACGCCGTGTAACCTGGTGGCAGTTCACCGATATATAGGAATACTGCGCCTCCATCTTCAAGGTAGAAGAGTAATCAACGTAATCAGCAGGCAAACAGCAAGTAGCTCCAGTACGTTGAGATTATCAGCTGTGACTATAAACATGCGCATCAACGCCATGTTTATGTTGCTCAGATACAAACAAATGTGCCATATGCACATTGTCATATGCCACGCGTTTAGCTTCAATGGTTCATCACCTGTCTTAGATCTTGAACAAGATATTAGGATGTAACTGGATTATTCTGGCTCAGGATAGGTTCTCATAGAGGACTCTTGTGAATACGATAATGAACCTTCGGGATTTAATAAACTGTAGGATTTATTTTACTAACCAAGCGACTATGCGTCATTCAAAAAAATATTTTTCCCCCATCCAGAAATTTGGATCAAAAGGAAATGCTTCAGCTTGTACTCGGGAAGTGCCTAGTTAGAATCTCGAACGTAATACAAGTAATTATTGATGTCTTTCGTGGTTTCACACAGTTCCTCCAGGCGAACGCTGGGATAGTACCATAAATTAGGATACACCCGCATCTACCCTATCAGTTCCAATCCCATGTTCATTGCCGTCCATTTTCCGACACTATGGAGCATAAACTAGAGTCAGCATCGTGAAATAAATGAAAATATATACCTTGCACTCCCTTAACCAAACACAGGCTGGAGTACTTTCGAAGAATAGGACACTCATTAAGTGTAACAAATTTTACTAAAACGTAGAGACAAACAAAGTCGCCTTAAAATTTTCAGCCCTATAGGACCACTTTTGATCTGGTTCCTTCCTTTAAAGAGAGGCAGTGTAAAGGACACGAACCAAATTGGTTCTAGATTTTAACAAAATCTTTTTAACCCACATTTGTCAACAAACTAATTATAATAATTTATAAATATTTTAATGTATTCATTCACCTCGCTGTAATTAAAAGCTCAGATGTTATATTCATGGCAGTGTAATGATACTGTATGTATGTATGGATATTGACCAATCACAATGCAATAGTGGTTTCCGCAAGTATTGGTATGTCCTCCTGAAGATGGTCTCTAAGGCCGTAACATGCCAAGGATGAAAGAGTAAACAGGAGGGACAGAAAAGAAACGTCTTATCATTTGCACTGGGCAGAGCTGACTAAGCTTTTGTACTGCAGACCCATGTTCAGAAGCCCGTGTATATTCGAAGTCATAACTAAAACTCTTAAAAATTGTTACCACATACGTTTCTTCTGTGTACCAGAAGACGCTGTGGCATTTCTTGCAGTTACTGCCTCATCAAGCCGTGTGTTGACTGCTGGTTTGTTGCTAGATATCATGGAGTGTAATTAAACGTTTTATTTGTGTTCTGTCCGCGTTTAATTAATTAAGCACTATGTCATAAAGGTACATGAGATAGTAGAGGTATAGCTCCACAATTCTTGACCTCAGCACTAGATGCAGGTGAATGATTAGCCTCACGCCTCGGCCGCTTTACTCCCTGGGAAAGATCCTCCGGTGCTCATTGTATAAGACGCTGTGGAACGTAAGGACAGTACGTATATATTATACATATGTATATATACTATATACTACATATCTAGAGGACTTAAATATGTAAAGCGATTTTATTGAATCAACATAAAACAAAACAAGAAAGTCTGTGGCCTATAGTCCGTAAGCGAACTATATCGACCGAGCGACCGCTGCTTGTCGGCGAAGTTAGTGCCAACTTTAGCGGATAGAGGGTGCGGCGTGGTCAGCACAACGAAACCCCACCGCTGTTAATTTCAATTTTCTAGACCGGAACCGCTATTGTTCCATTCAAGTAACTCCTCAATTATCCTCACGAGGCTTAGTGGACCCCGTTCCAGACACTACTTCTCAGAAAATCTGGTAGCGCCGGGAGTAGAACCTGGTACCTCTGGATCTGTAGCCAAGAACTCTGACCACTAGACGACCAGGAGGTTTATTGATTCAAAATTTATTATAAATCTGTTACACTTGATGGTTGTATAGTTACTTAACGGGCTGATTCAGTACTAAAGCATCGGCCTTATTGGGAACGTACCTTGTTTGATCCCTGGTTAGAGGGTGGTTCTAACAGAATAGGGTATATAAATGTTACATTTTCTTGTGTGTTTAGGTCTTCAGTCACGATGTATGTTAGAAGTTTTCCTACATTGTTATGTAGACTGTTCACAGAAAAGTTACTACGTGACCACAGTGTTAATGCCTCGAGGCCATTGTTGCACCTGGTCAGAATTCCATTAGTCTGTACTGAAATAATGAAGCCGATGTTACGGATGTGTTGGTCTGAATACCGACAACACGATAACATCTCAATAGAAGCAAGGTCCATTCTAGTATTACATTAATTAATTATTTAACAGTTTTCACACACATTTCACGACGAACCTCCTCATATCTCGACATCTCAAAATTATGAAACAATTTTACAGGCAGTTTTTCTGCATTCATTTAATCGACTCTTTCAAAACAGCCGCTATTGTTTTCGGCCTCATTTATAATTACTACATTGTTGATGAAGATGCTTATCAGCAATTATAGAGAAAGTTCCTTGGCCATTTTGATAACAAGTACAACGAAGATTGCGTTGTATCTAATCTCTCTTGTTAGTCATGAATATTATTTCGAGGCTCACGCTCCGCGAAAATATATACTCACTTCCGGACACAATTAACTAAGATACCCATCAATAAGAGCTTAGTTTGAGTTCAATGTAGCTGCATCTTGGAGGGCCCAAGAATAATTTTGAGGGCGATATAATGACTATTCTCTTGTTTAAAAGAAACAACGAAAACAACAAAAACAACAAAAAGAAAGCGACATTCACAGTAATCAGGAGAGATAATAGTCCATAAAATTATGCTTCTGTTCGCCTGATGAATTTTCATACTTACTTTTGATTTCCAGCAGTTAAAGCAATGAAATTTACAAGCTTGTTGCATTACCCATTGTTCTATTTTGTTGAATTTTGTTGCTCTCACAGAAATGACTATGAACAGTACTATCTTCTGGGACATAATGCTGTGTAATCCAAACAGAATTACATTTTAATTCAACCGACGTTTCGGAGGAACGTCGGTTGAATTAAAATGCAACTATATGTATTAACTATCGGACGAAGGTAAGCAAACTGGCGAGAAACCCAACATTTTTACTGAACACATAAGCAATCGGCATTAAGGCTTCAACTGTTACTCGTCGGCGACAACTTACTTACTTACTTACTTACTTACTTACTCATGGAACTGAGCACTTCTGGAGGAGCCACCAATTCTGCAGCTACTCAAGAATTTCCCAGCATTTTATGGAACCCAAAGGTTCATTACCATGTTCACAACAGCCCTCCACTGGTCCCTATCCTGAGCAAGATCTATGCAATTCACACCATCCCATCCTATCTCTCTAAAATCCATTCTAATATTGTCCACCCATCTACGCCTTGGTCTTCCCAGTGGTCTCTTTGCTTCTGGCTTTCCTACCAATGTCCTATATGCATTCATTGTCTTCCCCATTCGTGCTACATGACCTGCCCACCTTATCCTCCTTGACTTGATCATTCTAATTATACTTGGAGAAGAGTACAAGTATAATTACACAAACTAAACGAAAACTGAAGGATTTAAACAAAAATTAATTTCACGTAAATTGTTCAATTTTGTTGCAGAGTAATACATTTTTTTTCCTTGGCACTACAGCCCCAGTGGGCCTAGGCTTACCTCCATGAACTTCTCCGTTCACTTCGGTACAGTGATACATTACTAGAGAAAAAATTTGAAAAAATAGAAAACCTATGTAAGAATTGAGGTTTTCACGGCGGTGACTATGAAGAAAGCAGTCTTCTGGGATGTGGCACCTTGTAGATGTGGTACCGGTTCTCACGGTCTCTTCGATTGCGGCTTTTCTTATTTTTTCTTCTACCCTGAAGATGGAGGCGATACGTTCCTCCGAAACGTCGGTTAGCACCACATCTACACGGTGCCACATCCCAGAAGACTGCTTTCTTAATAGAAAACCTGATTGTAACGCAGCTTATGGTTAAATTAACCCTTTAAATCCCAATGGTCACTATGTTTACCACCTGCTTTAACATAGTGTAACTGCATTCTGCCCCCAGAGTGTATCTGTGTGATTTGCGTGGAAGCAGTGCATTTCAGCTTGCCTCTCTACGTACGAGTGTACCTACAATTGAATTTGACGTCATCACAACGGTGATTATGATGACTACTATCTTGTGGGATAGGACGATGTGTAGTTCGGAAGAATTTTACCGACGTTTCGGAGAGGAATGTACTGCCTTCATATTTAAAGTCCACAATAATCAAACAGGCATCAGGAGGCTAGTGGAAAGCAAAATTTGCAGGTTTCTTGCATATCTTAGTTTTCCAACCAGAATATGGAGGCAGTATGTTCCTCCGAAACGTCGATTAACTTCTATATAGCTGTTGTCACATCTCATAAGACAGTACTTTTTGAAGTAGCAGTGTTTTAACCAACTTTCGAAGTGCGCGGAAGTTAGGCGCTTAATCATTGTTTCACACAGTGACATCCGGACTGTTGTACTGGTCCTTTTTTAGCTATCCCACCACTTGCTTGGAGGAACTGAGAAAAACGACGATAAACTTATCACACTGGCAGCTTCGCGGTTTCGAATCGAACGAGAGTTACTTCAATACAATTATATGTCTTTTATAAGATTTGAGGTTTTCACGGCTGTGACAATGAAGAATGACGTCTTCTGGGATGTGGCGCCGTGTAAATATTGTGTAAACCGCCGTTTCGGAAGAAAATATAGCCTCCATCTTCAGGGTAGAAAAATCCGCGAGCGAGGAACCAACGTGAGCATGTGGTTCAGTTTGAAATCACCTGCTCACGCTGGATCCTCGCTCGCAGATTTTCCTACTCTGAAGATGGAGGCGATACGTTTCTCCGAAACGTCGGTTTACACAATATCTACAATATCTAGACGTCTTTTTGTTGGAGGTAAATTAATTGGGATGTATTACTGAGAGCCAATATTTATTTCAGGAATGGAAATGATTTCATAGAGCCAGGTAAAGGCAGGTGGAAGCGACCGACACGTCTACCTCTGTACCATAAATTTCAAACTCTGCTCCATGCGAATGACAGGGCATGACCAAATATACCGGTAGGTGGCTCTGAATACAACAGCCTCTCAGTCGTCAGCTGTCTTCATTTGCATGAAAATTACTTTTACATGATGCCTGAAAGCAGGAATAGAGGAGCCAGAGTAGACGTTCATTGCTAGGCAACGACTCAGTAAACGGATTCCCGCAGCAACGGATACGTAATCAACAATAGAGGAATTGTTGTGAACTATGTTTTCTATTCGGTCGGCACCGAAATGTTATAAAAACGACAAATAAGATCGTTTCATTCAGTTGAAATTTGTTACGCCACTCGAGCAGAGAAATTGAAGCATCAGAATTCTTGAGTGCAGTTCAGTGGGGTTGAAAGTAGGGGCTGTGAAGAGAAGACTTTATGTGTGATGCGGTTACAGTAAGATTGGTTTAATCTCTACTGTTAAAATCCGTCACTAGGAAAGGACTAATGAAAGAATCTGAGAACACTAGTGTTTGCGGCAATGAACTGTAAAGTACGGGGATTAGGGGTAGCCCTTTATTATTTGTAATTACGAGTTGAGTATATAAGTAGTCAATAAATTCAATGTCCAATCCATACCCCGTCTATAGTCACGCACCAAATATACGTGAAAATACATATTTCGAAGAGAATCTTAAACTTATAGTGTATTTTACATTCTTTGAATGCTGAATTTTATGATTTGAGAGCTCGCTCTAAGGTAAAATGCGCAGCTATCCCTGTAACAGGCCGTGGCGGCCCATAGGGTTGTGGGATGTTGAGGCTCCCACATTTTATACACTCACTGATGGCCGTGAGGCTGTCAGCCTTACGCGCCGGCCGCCCTTTACCCCCAGGAAGATTCCTGATACTCATTTCTGTTAGAGGCTGAGTCGACTCCAGGGCCATAGTGCGGCTAGAAGGATTAGGTAAATTGAAAATATCCACCCAATCGGGATTCGATCCCGCGACCTTTCGGCTTGTAGCATAGTGCCTCAACCAACTACACTACCGCGTTCGCCGAGAACACTGTCTAAAGATATTAATTACTACGACGAAGGTTCGAAAGTCGCTTTCTACGTGCGAGCTTCTTGTTCTCGAGAATGACAGTTACTATGTCATGTGACGTTGACTGCTGGACTATCGGGATAAGAATTACGCGAGAAAAACGTCGAGTATCCAGGCGGGGAACTACCTCAAAACAGGCCACAACAGTTCTTTCCACATCTCTTCACAACTCAACCTAGAATCTGACGTCGTATTGTCTGAGCTACTGAATGCGTCGTAAAGTGAACCATGAAAATGGATGAGAACTCAAGCAGCTGGAATTAAATGTTCGAGATTTGTGAAGCAGTTCAGTACGAGTAAAGCAGACGGAATAAGACATGAAGACGTAAGGAGAGGACT